GTCAAACCTCAACTGTATTGCTCAGCAGGGATTTGTCTATTCAATTTTATGGCTGGTCTTAAATGTGAGACTTCGAACTCATACTGTTTCTGTTGTTCCTATAGCAACAAATTATGTGGAAAGGCAGCAGTTTTGCTTTGCTTTGCAGCTGGTGTTTTGAGCTCACAGCAAGGGAGGAGTTTTGGGAAAATAGAGGGTTTATAAGTTGGGATGTGACTTATTCAGAGGTAGAGCTGTTGCTGAGGTACCTCACCCGTTATGGAGGAGTTGGTTTATGATTTTGAGTAGGGCTTCCTAGTCTTCTTTAAATAAAGTTCTGTTCTCTCAGTAATGAGATATGATTTACTCGAAGTGTTTGATCTTTCTCTTCACTGTTTATGCCTTTTCCCACCTAAAATGAAGCTCTTCGACATCACGCAGCTCTAAAATTTGTTTCAGTAACTTGAGCGGAGCTTACAACCTTCAAGTGCTCTGAACATACCTGAGGTATGGAGCTTTATAACTTCTGTTTGCAATTGTCCAGTGACTGTGTTGTAGAAGGCTGTAATTCTAAGATAGTGTTCTGAGTGAGTATCTCAGAGTAAAATGTTTTGACATTTAATACTCCTAGTCTCAGAGATGAGACTAATGGATTCTTCCTTCTCCAAAAAGCAAAAGTTGTTTGCATTCCCATTAGTAGTCCTTTCCCTTACATCATGACAGTGATGTTGCACACTTACTTTCCTGAAGTTCTCTGATGCCAAATCAAAATCTCTGGAATAACTCAGTCTCATCTTCAACCTGGAGAGCTTGCAGGTCTGCTGCCCTGCCTGAGTGCTTGTCCTTAGATCTAGGGACTGAAAGGAGCAGAGCTGCTACTGCAGGGAACCAGTTGATTTGCTGGCGGTGAGGCCTCTGTTTTGGTTGTGGTGGGGATGTGTGAGGGTTTAATTTTCAGTGTTTAAGTGTTATATAAAAAGCCCACCAAACATGTAACATACATTTTAAGCTCTTTGAAGCTGTTTATTTTGAATAAATAAAAATTAATGGGCACAGGAACTGGCTATCTTGTGTCATCTCAGAAAGGTGTATGTTTACTGTCAGAATAGTGATACTCTGTGTGGCTCAGTGTATATGCAGTTAAAATTATTTTCTAACCAGAGAACAACTCTGATTAGCAGAAGGAACTCTGGGAAGTTCTTATCTATTTGTAGCTGATAAACAAGCTGTTAATTTGCTTGAGTGGGAAATAAGAAGTAGGTTTGGATGTGTTCTCCTGACCTAAGGAATGTGTTTGAACCAGAACTTTTCAGCTCTTGGAAAGCTGCCATAATGCAAACTGCTTTTTGAGATGGTGATCTGCAGACCAGTGGGGATTCTGTGAGCATCTGAATGCTGGCCATAAAATCGTATGTAGGTCACTCTGAAAGCAGTGCCTCCTGTTTATTTCTGTGGAAACTACAGCAGGAGACAAAAGTGTACTATAACACCATTTGATAGAGCAAATTCTCAGCTACAGAACACTATTTTTCAACACAGTCACCACCATTAGGTGTGCGTTTTCACTGGCAATAAGCAAGAGCCTGCATGGTGCTGTTGTCAAAATCTGTACCAGTAGAGGTGACCCACCATCACTGTTATCACTGCTGAAATGCACCACCTCACTGTGCTCACATCCATGTTTGGTCCAACATTCAGCAAGTGTCAATGAATGTCCTTTTTTCTCATGGAGGGTTTCAGTGACACACCTTTGCTTCATCTGTGCTTCCATATCAGATACTGTGTCAGGCTGTGTCTCTGCTGCCATCTGTCACACGGCAACATGTAATGAGATATTTGCAGGAAGGTTTAACCTCTAAAGCTGCACCCCCAGCATAATAAGAGGTATTTCTTTTTGAGCACTGTTCATGCAATCTCAGAATATCCTGAGTTGAAAAGGACCCACAGAGACCAGTGAGTCCAGCTCTGGGCTCTACACAGGACCACCCAGAATTCAAACCCTATCATTCAAGTGCTTCAATAGACATGCTTGCTCTTGGGGAATAAGGCTAAGTTTCCAATTGCTGCGTGCTTTATTCCTTCTCTGTTCCTTTTTTCCCCCCCTGAGAAAGAATGATTCTCAAGAGATAATGAATATGTAATTAAACAACTTTATAAATGAGCATGTTTCTCTGTTGACTGCCCTAATATGACTTTGATTGGCAGTGAGTTAAATATGAGTACATATTTAAATTTGGAACTTGGAACTGAATCACATCTTTTCAAAACACTTTGAAATACATAAACGGACAAGTTATTTGCTTCCATGGATTCTAAGGTGGCGTATCACTTGTATGGATAGAGCCTGTAAGCTGTTTTAGGGTTGGAATGTCCTCCTGGGACTGGAAGAGCTGAGTCTGTTCAGCCTCAAGAAGAGGACGCTCAGGTGGGATCTTACCAGTGTGGTAAGAAGAATTAAAGAAAGTTAAGCTGTCTAGTGATGCTACAAGAGGCAATGATTGTAAACTACATTACTGTAAAGGTAACTGAAGACTCACACAGGTTGCCTGGAGAGTGTAGAGGTTCCTTCGTAGAAGCTCCAAACCCAGCTGGCTGCAGGCCTGAGTAACCTGCTGTAGCTGACCTGGCTTTTAGCTGAGAAGATTGGACTTGGAAGTGTCCTGAGGTCCTTTCCGAACTCAGCTATTCTGTGATTATCGAGTTCTATGTCAGCAGATGGAATTATGTGTAGAAAATGCTGCTTGAAGAATCTTGTAATATTAGAGAGAAAATACAAGTCTTGTGAGTTGTTTTGATAATTCTGCTTTATCTGCTTAGATTTTAACTTCTATCTTAGCACAACTTCTGATATTACACAATTTATTTCCAACAACATAGTTCTTCTGTGCAGAAAAGAACTAACAGAGAAATCAGTGCAGTAATTACTTTTTTTTTATCAGTTCTGTTCACTTGACAACTAAATGCATTTTGCAGTGTATAAAACCCAATCCTGAATCTGAAGATCTATAGAAGTAATTTTAATTTGTACTCAAGTCTCAATCAAGGTTGCTGAGCAGAGGGAAGAATTCTGATGAGGAAACTGAATTGTTGCTGTTCTGATTGGGACGATTTATCTATATGATTTATGATGAAGATAAAATGACATACTACCCTATGCACTTCCCTTGCTGCCTAGTTTCTGAATAAGTAGAAGGTGATTGTTCTGCCCTCCAGGATACTCAGCTTAGTGTAGTACCTTTGCTTTGAAGTGCAGATTTCATTATCTTTAAATATTTCTTTAGAGCAAGTATAATCTTTGTCCTGGATTGCAGATGACAGTTGACTAAGATCAGTTGGCAGAAGCCCTTTCTTACATTTTAAAATTGGCATCATTATTAGTTTACCAACGTTGAGCAATTGGTGATCTATGAGTAGTAATCAACTTAAGGGACGAAGTGCCTAATGAGTAGGTCTTTTTAGTGGTAGATTTGAAGAGTTTTAACTTACAATTAATTAAACTAGCTATGGCCTTTCCTAAGAAGGGAGCATATTTTCCCTTCTCCCCAGTGGTTTCTGAAGGTATAGTAAGGAATGAAGAAAAAGGGAAGTATTCTGAGATTTAAAAAGAAAAAAAAGAAAAAAGAAAAGTAATGCAGGAGGAGGTAGTGCTCATTTCTGAAGTGCAGAGGACTGAAAGAGGCTGTGGCACCTGGGACAGTTAGAGATGGGAAAGAGAAGTTGTGGCTGGGGTCAGGAAAGAAGCAATATCTAGCACTCAGCAGGGGTAGGAAGGGGGGAAGTGACTTAATTGGATCAGATAGTAAGAAGAATGAATAGATGAAGTAGTGGTGTTTGGTGTGGTTTTTATTTTATCTGCTGGGGGGGAGGACTGGGAAAGGGGAAAGAAAGGAAAAATGTAAAGAAACAAAGTCTTGATAAATGTAATAATTAACTGCAACTTTGAGCCAAACTTGTAACTGTAGTTTGAGTATATTTTTTCAGTTAGATAATAGCAAGTGTTAGAAATCAAGAAGTGAGATTCTGATGTCTGATTCTCAACAAATCCTGTTTAGGCAGACCTTTTCAGGCATTGGGAGTTATGAATAGTGTATTAAAATATAATTAATGTTTGGATGAAAGCCTTCCAGAAGTTCTGTTTCGAAAGTTTATGTATCTTTTCGTACAAATCACTTAATGTTTTCAATCTTGTTCAGTTTTATTTTGCAGCTGTTAAAACAATGGGGCAAAAGCTTCCAAGGAATGCCTATTGATGTGTGAGGAAATCTAGATCCTAATTGCCAAACAATTGCTGTGATGTCATGTGCAGATTTTATATGATGCTCACAAACAGCTTGTTGGGAACAACTGTAGACTCATAAAATGCCTATAAGGATTTTTCCTTCTTGTAGAGATTCCATCTGTATTGCAAAAAAGCTTGTGATGTAACTCTCTGTATATATTCCTGTTTTATGTAAATTGCTATGCCATAAAATCAACTTACTTTGTGGAAAGAAAAATGTTTTTGCAGACATAGTTTTTAGCATTTATACACAAAAACCAATCATAGTTCTAAAAGTCTCACTATATGTTACAAAAGCAACTCTTGGCTCTACATTTGCACACTAATATTTGACTTATTTTTTATAAGCTCTACTGGCAAAAGTAGATCTTGCCAGATTTTTTATGTGTATTGTAAACGTCACCTGGTATAATGTTTTCCTGTGGAAGAAAATCTCATTAATGAACATGAACGTTCTGGTAAAAAAAAAAAAAAAAAAAAAGGGAATGCAAGAGCAATAAAAGATTACAATTCTTATTGTGAAACGTCAAAGTATTTCATGATTTTTTTTGAATTGTGAAATTGGCAACTAGGCATTAAAACCAAATGTTGGCAAAACAAACGTCTGGTAATTGTAGCTGTGTAAGGATACTTTATTTTAAAGAACAACTGTTTTAACAAAATAAATGTAGGTATTTTTATTGTTCCTAAAAGTAATAATCAGAAGTAAAGTCAATTAAATGTTCTGCTTTTTGTTTTCCAGAAACCAGCAAACATCCTGGTAATGGGAGAAGGTCCTGAAAGAGGAAGAGTCAAAATAGGTAAATGTTTTGAAAAAAATTTCATTGCTCAGCTAAGATTAGTTAGTACAGCATTGTTATTTAAAAACAAATACAGTACATTAAGTATTTTTTATGTTGCTATCATCAGCACATGTTTGCAGAGGTCTGCAGCTTTGCTGCGCAAAAGCTTTTTGGCTATCAAAGTAGGAAACTACAGTGATGGTTTTTATCCCAAATTTCATTAACTTTGCAGCTCTTAAGCCATAGTCATATGGTTCTACAGTTTTCTTTTTTCAATAAAGCATGTGGTAAACACAAAGGAGGAGCCTCATTTCTGTTTGTTTACTGTTGTTGCATTTGAAAATGATCAATTAACCAGTTTCTATTAATATGCTTCTACTAATATGGGTGACTGCAAGAAGAATATGACATTTTGTAATTTTGAAAGCAGAAAGATTCAGACAAAGCTTGGGTAGAAGATAAATCACAGATTTGGACAAGATGTGATTTATTTTTTTTTTAATATACTTCCAGATTTTGTGCTTTTCTTTCTGGCATTTCTTAATGTTGCTTACAAACTTGTTTTTAGAGAGAATTTTTGATGTATATGAAATCAATGCATACATTTAAAATCCACCTCTGTAACAGTGCACACTAGCAAATTTCACAAATTACTATTTACTCTCCTTCTCTGAAGGAGAAGAATGCAAAACAATCTATACTACAGTCATTTTGTTTTTGCACTTTAGATAAACGTATAGCAGTCACATGAGCTGTCATTTCAGTACTTTGCTCAATTTTGTATGTAAAAATTGAAGAGAAAGCGCACACTAGGCTTAGAGGCCTACTCCTATTGGATTTGCATCTCAAAACTCCTTTCTGACCCTATTTTTCACAGTAGTTGTTATTTCATCTACATTGCCCACTTTGGATGTGATTATCTGGCTTTATCTTCAACTGCACTAGTTAGCTGAAAGAGCAGATGGAGGGGAGTGGAGGGACTGAGCTCTGTCACCTCTGTGGTGACAGCAACAGGGCCTGAGGGGATGGCATGGGGCTGTGTCAGGGGAGGGAGGGTCAGCTCGGGGGTTAGGGAAAGGTGGTGGAATGGAACAGGCTGCCCAGGGCAGTGGGCACACAGCTCCAAACTGACAGAGTTCAAGGAGTGTTGGGGCAACACTTAGACACAGGATTTGAATATTGGTCCTGTGTGGAGCCCAGAGTTAGAATCAGTGATCCTTGTAGGTCTTTTCCAACTTGGGATGTTATCTGATTCTATAAGCATTACCAGTTTCTTATCTTATGCTTCTGTCATAGATTTATTTAAATAAGAGAGTATCTGTATTATTTATAGTTTAACAGTATCATGATGGAAACACTTGCATATTATCCTTCCTAGTCTTACAAAGGAAGTAAATGAAATGTAGCCTAAGATGAATTTGGCCCAGTATTGCTATGAGTGATTTGATTACTTAGAAACTTGGATTTGTGAGTTCTAACAATTTTGAATTTTAGTCCTAATAGTTTTTTTGCAGTGTTTAATTCTGGCCTGCTCCAGCAAGAGTAAGATCTTTTGTTTTGTCTTTTCTAGCTGATATGGGCTTTGCCAGATTGTTCAATTCACCTTTGAAGCCGTTGGCAGACTTGGATCCAGTTGTGGTGACATTCTGGTACAGAGCTCCAGAGCTGCTACTTGGAGCCAGACATTACACAAAGGCTATTGGTAAGTTCTTCTGTTTAAATTTCCTAAAGGAGGATAGCCTTAGAGTAGATGTGACAGTCAGCTGACTAGCTAGTTTTTTCTTTTTTTTTTTTTTTCCTTCCTGAGGTAGCAGTAGGTGGAGAATGATCCAATCCAGTACCCAGGCTGAAAGTCTTTGAAGACTTGGCACTTGTATATTTATTTTTTTTGTACAACTTAATGTTACACATATAAAATGTGCTAGTTCTTTGTTGTTACTTTTTTCTAATAAAAATACTGTTTACATTGGTCTACATAGTTTTCTGATGCAGGCTTAGTCTTCTAGGATCTTTAAAAAGGAAAGACCTACGACAGTTTAAGTGGCTTTCATCTGGGGTACTCGATGTCCATTTGCTGCTGTGAAGTGTATGGTTTGATAAGGAGAGCCTCATACACTGTATACACTCCGCAGATTCACTCCTGAGATCTTCTAGTATTCCACGTTCAAGAAATGCTGGTAGCCAGGCCTTTGTCTTCCTTGCCACTTAGTAGGTTCCATAAGCAAAATCAGCCCAACTATTTAGAGAATTTATATCAGTGCCCAGCTATTTAGAGAATAAAAACACTGAAGTGCACAAGAGGTATCTTGTCTGTGTGGTTAAGTTAATGTATGGGAGATATTGCTTCCTCTGCAGTTCTTTTTATGTTAAAAGGGATTTAATTTCCCATATGTATGTGGAGGTGGCTTTTTTTGCAGTTGCAGGCATCTTCCTGTCATAGAAATCTTTGGAAGTACTATGTGGGCTTCTGATCAGAAAAAGACAATATTTGCCATGATCAACTAGCATCTTGGTGGAATGTTCACTTGTGTAAATCTGCATTTTTAAGTAAGGTCTCACAGTCTCAAACAACTCCTCCTTATCAAACTGTATCCTTATGCACCAAGAGTACTGAAAAAGTTTTAAAATTGAATGAACTGTCATCTGACTTCTTTGATGTGGACTTTCACTTCAGATTTTTTTTACTGCTCTTGTCTGCCATTTAGAATCCAATGCAAGATGATCTGAGCTGAACAAAATGCTTGTTTGTTCATCTTGCCTTCCAAAATGTGCAGGAACCATAAAAAAAGGTCATGAAGGTTTCTTCGTAACTATGGTCAAGGAGCACAGTTCAGAAAGGCTTTCATCATCAAAGCTGTATGTTGCACTTTTTGGCAATGTGTAGATTCAGTCTTGCAAGCAGCTAACCTGCATTTCTATTCTTGGACCAAATTTGTCAGCCTGAAAAAGTGAGTAAAAAATGCTAGAGTTCCTTTTCCTCTTCTGAAATGAAAAATCTTAACTCTTAAGATAGCAATGTCTACATTAGCAAGCAGTGTGGGACAATACAAGTATGTCCATACTAGTTACCCTGAGACCCACTTTAAATTCATTTTGGAGAAAGAGGAGTACTTTGGACTTTCCCTGGTGTGATACAGTGGACTGCTGCTCATTAGTGACACATCTTTTGGTTTTAATTTAATCTCAAAAGAGTGAAGTTTGTATACTCTGAGAGATGTTTGGGGGATAAGGAATGTTTTCCTTAGGTTTAGTCAGAACCTGTTTTGTTTCAGTTTATGCCCTAAATTTCTCATTGTCCTGTCATGTACCACAGTAGCAAGCCTACTATATAGTCTCAGTCACCTCTCCATAGGTACTGAGTGGCTACTTAGTGGTCTGTCTTCTGTCTGAAAAAGTTCCTGTCCCTCAGCTTCTCCTCCCATGTCAGCTGCTTCAGATCCTGAACATCCTAAAGGCTGTTTGCTGACTTATCTGCAGTTCTGTCTCATATTCAAACCACCAAAGTGGCCCAAGTGTGATCTACAAGCATTAAATAATGGTGGTATCTGTGGTGAATCTACTGGCGGTGTTCCTGTTGATACAGCTGAAGATCTTATCGATGCTTGATTACTCTGTTGTTTCATGGTTATCACAGCTAAGGCTGCCATTGATTATCACATCCTCAACCAGTCCTTCCTTCTTTTTTTTATTAGAAGATTCAGGAGATGACATGTAACATCTGTGTGAAGAAATTTACCTCAACATCTTCCAGAAAACCTTTGCAAGGTCCTTGAGATGAGTGTGTTCACATCTTAGTTATTCTTCCTGATGCTATAGTCTGTTTAGCTCTTCCCACAACTCCTTTTGCTGAGGTCTTAAGTTACTTAGTTCTTGCCCTGAGGGTTCTGCATCCTATATTAGGACAGAGGAGTCCCTGTGAAGTTGTAGAGGGTGATGGTACTTCAGAGAGATCTACTTTGGGCTATTTCTAAGAATTTTATTTCTTGTATTAGACCCACACCCATGAATCTTCAATAGGGATATGAATGGGTAGTGTACATGGCATGCAGTGTGAGTACTGAGGACATTCCAAGTGGTTTGGCTAACAAAATAAAAAACGTGGAAATGGAAATGAGAGATGTAAGGTGAGGTTTGCAGGTTGAATGAAAGATTAGAGGAGCGTGTAACTGCAGAGGAAAGAAAGGTGTATGGATGTGATCTTCCCTTTACCCCAAAGGGAAAAAGTTGGTAACAAAATGACAGCAGTGATGTTTGTGCATTTCATGAGTCCAGACTTGTGTTTTGCTTCTAGCCTTGCATGCAACTATAACAAGGCTGCCTTAATGAGCTCATCGTGCTACTGAGAGTTGCAGGTTAATATGTGAATGTTTTTGGCAGAGGTACAACTTTTAAAGCTCTATTAAATCTCTGTGCAATAAATAAAATTATTTTTAAAATTACATAATCCTCAGGAGCCCTAATGCATCACTTTTAGTAATCACTCATAAATTATGTAAGATCCTCGTTTAACTGCTAATCGCTTGAATATATTAATTTAGAATAAGATCAATTTGATACACCAACTTATGAAAAAGTAAATTTTGGTGTAGCTTCTAATTTTACAGAGCTATTTTCATATGCATTCTGTATGATATAATTTTGTGTATTTCATAAATATTAATAAAATCAGTCTAAAAGCACCATCATATCAGCTTTGGTCTGTTCTCTTCAAGTTTTGTCCTTGAGAAATGCTTTTTTTTGAATTTGCTAGCAAGGCATTCTACTCTACTGCAGCACGTTGAACATTGTAGCAACTGTGCTGGGTGTAATTCAGATGTATGCTTAGGTTTCTACTGATTTGTCTTAATGTTTTTTGTTTACTTTCTGTATTCTGTATCTCATACTTTTTTTCCTTATCATAGCTCCATATATAATACGCATACCAGAGAGTGTGCTTCTGAAATTATTAGCAGTATATTCATAACACCCTGGACACTGTCTACTATAGTCTTATTTCTTTCTGTTCTTGGAATATGCTTTCTTGCACATAAATAACCCTTGTGCATGACCAAAGAATGAAAATGGAATTTGATTTAGAATCTATGATTCTATGATTCTATGATTTTTGTCTCAGATGTGATTTCTTTTTTTTTTAATTATTATTATTTTTGTGTGTGTGTGTGTGTGTGTGTGTGTGTGTGTGTCTTGTTTTCTGAACCTGGTATTAGTTACATTTCGTAGATCTGACTTTGGGGAAGAATTGGGCTCAGCGTGGTCTGTTGAGAAAGAATTAGGTATTACATAAAACAATTCAGAAGCACATTTCATTTTTTAGAGGTAGTTTCTTACTATCGTTTTTTCCCTGTATTTAATGTGTCCCTTCGTCCTTATGAAAGATTGTACTTCTCATTTATTTGCTGGCTGAACAAGGAGTGGTTCATTGCAAATATCATATTTTGAGGGGATGCAGGTGTCAGGAAAATACTGTTGCTGGAAACAGGGAAATAGCTTTTGCTTTCTGCATGTTGAAAGGGTAGTAAAAAGCCCATGTTAGAGTCATTCATGTGGAATAATATTTAGTTTCCTGAACTGTGAACACTTGTAATCTAAGCCCTACTTGTTAATAAAGTTTCCTATATAATCTGCTATCACAGTTACAAGCAACTGACTTACAAGATGAGTACAGATTGGGAAAAATGGTGTTGAGGAAGCCAAAGGTTACTTTCTGTTCTGTTACCACAATGTAAATCTATGCTAAATTTATTGTAGCCTGCGGAGGCCTTGGTCTGCATTTCCAGCACCGTAATTCAAAACCAGAATCTGTTTCCATGTGTTCATCTGATCTTAATATTCTAACACAGAAGTAAAACATGCAAAGAAAGTCACTTTGAACAAACTTCATGTGAAACCATGTAACTGGGAAAATATAAAATTTTTGTGATTATGCTGACATTAATAAAATTACTGAACTTTCAGAAAGTTTCCAGCACAATAGGAAAGTGCTTTTCTACTCAAAACACTAAAGAAACAAGGTTGAAGTGCAAAGACTCCTGTACTACAATTTTCAGTAGAACTAGTAAGAACTTCTAATCATAGGCTTTTAGGAACACATGTAATGTTCTCTATTCTGCTTCATTGTTGGACATCTTAGAACAGTGTATCAAGGAAATCACACAGTTAAGGCTTCTTTTCTATCAAGTTACAGCTTGTGTAGTCAGGAGTGCTATCAAATATCTTACTTCTCCTTTCCACTTGTCTTAGCTAAAGAAACAGTGTATGTGATAAACGTTATCACGTGGCTTCTAAAATTTTATCTTGTTTGGATTTTGTTGGCAGAAGAGTTTTTCAGAGTGATCCTTCAACAATCCATTTAGTATGAGAAAAAAATCTGTTCTCTGCCAGAAAAGGAAGGGGTTGCTTATTTAGAAAAAAAATAAATCTGAGAACCAAAAGTGTCTCTGTGAATTAGTTAGCCCGAGTTGGTTAATTAGCTTAATTCACTTGCCTAGCTTGCAAGTCAGTAGGAATGTTAGCAATGGCCATGTGAGAACTGCATTTTTGTGCTTGAACAAGATTTACATATGGAAAACTTGTAGTTTAAAACTTGGGCAGTGCACTGTCACCTCATTCTGTTTCCAGACAAAGATATGGATATGAAAGCTGGAAATGTGTAAAAGGTATAGCCTGTTATCAAGTGCCTTTGAAAGTAAATGTCCTAGGAAA